ACTTGTGGAGGTGTTTTACAGCAGTTTTCTGCTGGCAGCTCATTTTGGTCAGGTTAGATAAAATACCAGTCTGAGCCTCTCCAGGGTGTTCTGGTCAGTTGCTGGTTGTTCTGATGATTTCCTTCTCCAAATGTAAGGCTTCACTTTGCTGGCACATCATGCAGATGCCTCAGCCTGTCTTCCCTTTCAGATGAGCAGTTCTCTAGTCTCCAGTTACGTTTGCTTAGGCAGGATGAAGTAAAGCAGTGGAAAGGAAACAGACCCCATTTGCTTATCTCGGGAGCCTGAAGTTTCAGATTATTTGACAATGTCAAATAAACATCTCTGTACATTCACACTGAAAGGGGATTTTGGACAATTTCATAGATCTGGTTTCACATGCAGTTTTAAATATCAGGTAAAATTTTGAAAGCCAGTAGTGGGCTCATATACCAAAAGTCTCCCAGGGACTGTTGCAAATCCACATTAAGTTCCTGAGCACTAGAGTCTGCATTCAGTTGAAGGAAGCGTGGAGACCCTCAGATGAAGGTCAAGAGCTCAATTTCATCTTTCTAGGGCAGATAATAATTTATATTCAACTCTGCTTTGTGAAGTAACTGCAACAAATCCTTGTATGTGTATTACACGTGTCAGCATGTGAGGTGAAGGAGCCTTGGGTGTGTTAACAGTGTTTTCTCATGTCAAATGCAGTACATCAAAAATCCCTTTCAAAACATAAGCAAGTTCCTTCCTAAAACTGTGTCAGCTTTGGGGGGGTTTAGCCTATACCACTCTTCTCGGGAGGCTGTTCCAGAGCTGGATCCTCTGAAGGCTGGGAATTTTTTTCTGATTCTTACCCTAAATTTATTTATGGCCAACTATTATCAATTTGTTCTTAAGCCCACATTGTCCATTAGCTTAAGTAGCACTTCTCCATCACCGATGTCCCCCTTCAGTTCTCCCTTCTTCTGGCCACCGCCAAGATGCATTTAGAGCGTGACTTTGTTAGGATAAACGAGTCAAACTTTTAAAGTCCTCTCTTGCGGTGTGGGTATTCCACCCATTTCAGCAACACCTGCCCCATTTAGCTGAGCTTGGCTGAGCAGAGAGCCCCTGTGCTGGAGCAGTGTGGCAGCACCCAGTGCCAAAGGGATGGCACAGACAGCTGGGCGAGTAGTGAGGTATCGTGTGGCCACAGCCATTAGCTCAGGGTTTGCGGGGTGTTTCGCTTCTGAGCAGACCTCATTTGGTTTGTGTCACTGTGAGGGATGAGGTGGGACCCCACGTTTCTTCGAGGGGCTGGATCCTCATCAGGTGTATATTAGTGTCCAGGCGCAGGTTTCTTTGCTTGTGTCAGTCATGAGCCAATATTGTGCATCAGGTGCTGCGCTTACCTGTTCTTGAATTACTGCTTGCTGCCATTGCTAAACTCAATTCGTGTCTTTGACACGTTCCTCTGGCTTTACACCTGTGTATCAGGAACAGGAACCACTGCTCACTTCAAGATAGCACTTGAAAAAGTAGTGTTTTGCCAGGCAGGCCAGCATCTTGCTTCAAACATGACCCTTTTTATGAACTCTTTTGTTTGTTTGTTTCCAAAATGGAAATTATTACTGCAAGAGTCTCAGTTTATTGCAGAAATTATTGAGCACATTGACACATTTTAATAGGAGAGATTTCAGAGTATCATCGTGCAGATATGAGAGTTGCATCTGGCCTTACATCTCGTTCTTTGTCAGCAGGGTAGTCCCTACTGTACTGACACGATAATCAGCTCTGGGCTTCGTTGGGATCATTGTGTGGGTTTCAGTTTCACAAAAGGATTTGCTGACTTGGCTTTTTAGCTATGAAGTAACTTGACAGTGCACATTTCCAAAACAAAAGACTGACACCTAGAATCTAGATGGAAGCAGATTCAGAAACACATGTACACTACTTAAGGAGAAAAATATGTGCTGTGACTGAAATCCATAGACCCACTGAAATTATTTATTCATTGCTTTTGACTTCCACTTCAGAACTAGCTAATGAAATTTCTCCAGCTTTTAAGGTTAGACTGAGAATGGTGTGGGGGGTATTTATTATTTAAAACTACTCTTGTCTGTCCTAGGCTCATCTAATACTTGAATTGTTTGGGTTTGATTCTTTGTTCACATGGGTCAGACAAGACATAAGGAGTGTGGGGAGCCATCAGCCTCTGAAGCAGTCTCACACCATTTTTGTCAAACTTTCAATCAAGTGAGATGGCACATCATAAAATACTGTCTTAATTCAAGTGCTTTGTACTGTGTGTCATGAAAGTCATAGGGCAGAGATGACAACACATGCCTTAATGTGTGTGCTTCCTTGCATATATGTATTCTTGCCGTTCTTCCTTCTTGCTCAGATCAATGAACAGACTGCGATTTGAGGATGCAGCCTCCACTAAACAGACTCTGAAACGTTGCAGTACATTCTTCACTGCCCAGTTATAGGGGGGACAGTCAATGTATAGCACTGAGATAAGGAGATACTGGCATTTTAAGGTCTGCCCTGGGGAAATCGCGAACACCAGCAATTCCCATTGAGATCAAGGAGAGGTGCAGGTGCTTAGCAATTCTCTTGTGTTTCACCTTTTAAACAAATACTCTGCACAAAAACCTTTCACAGTTACCATTAAGAGCAGAATCTCCACTGCCAGGTGCTTTCAGTTCCTCTCATTTTCCTGGTGGTTTCACATTACAGGGATTTGTGGAAACTGAAGAAGGTAAAGGTTGCAATCAGTCCTGTCTAGAAGCAATCAAATATAACTGTTATGCACATACCCTTGGGGGTGTTTTTAAGTAAGTGGAGTGAAAGCTCCAAGGAAAGTGGTGTAAGCTTTTCACACATTACTTTTTATAGCGTTCTTCTTAACGTTACAATAAAATAAAAAGCTGTTCAAACATAAACATGTCTCCTTATTTTGTACAGGCTCTACCGAAGCAAGCTCTGCTTGCAGCCTCTTCCTGTTCTCTCCCCCATACTGGTGGGAGTGCAGGGGTGAGCAAGCAGCTGTGTAGGTGCTCAGCTGCTGGTTCGGGTGAGCTCACCACACCCAGAATTCTGGTATTTTCAATAATCTTGAGCTTAAGACACTGCTTGAATAGGAAAAAAATGAATATTGAGCCTTCCTTTTTAACTAGCATCTTCCCTTACAACTTCTTATAGTAGTACATAGTAGTTACGAAGCACTTCCTGCTTCCTTAGGTTTTAAAAGTATTGAAGCAAATTAAAAGCCTACATCCTGAAAAAAAATGTTTAAGAACAGGTTTTTGTGGTCTCCTAAATTCCTGAGTGATATGTGAAAAAGGGATCTTAGGCTGCTGCATTACTGTGTTGCAGTTAAACCTCACAAAAATCCTGTGAAGTAGATAATTTATTACTTCCATCTAAGAGATGCTGAGGCTGAGGCACACTTGTCTACTGATTTGTGTCTTTCTGTTAGTGCCATATTAGTGACTACCTGTTCCTGGTTGCACTCAGTTTCTTGACTATTGTTTTACCCCATATGAAGGTGGAGAGGTAAATGCTGTATTTGTTTTCCTGTTGTGGGCAAAGCGGGAAAAGATGAAGCAGGGTCTGGAAATAATAGAGGGATAGGATACCTAGATGAGAAATGTTAATTAGCTTGCACAAGGCTCGCAGCTTTGCCCTCTCTTGTCAAAAATCTTGAGTCCTGCTATTCCTCTGGGTCATTGCTGCAGCACTGTAATGGGGAGGAAGAAAAAAACACCCGTACACTGGGAGGAATGAGAGGGCCAGTTTAAGGATGCATGAGCTTTATCCCCATCTGCTGGCACAGAGCTGCAGTGGTTTTGGTTTCTTGCTGCGCTGATGACAGATAATGCAATAACGCCCTGGAGGAGCGTGACTTTCCTTGCCTTCAGCACGACCTCGACACTCGGAGCGGGGAGCCTGGGAAGGACGCGCCAGATGGGGAATCTGTAGCCTGCCTGCGCCCAGCTCTGGCCGTGCAGGCAGCAGGGGTTGTGAGAGCTCACCCCGCCTCTATAGCCCATTCCCAGCCTTGACTCCTCTGCTTAGATCGTGGACTCTCTGGGGCAGACACAGTCCTGTGCGATACGTGGTGTGTTTGCCCTCGCTGGCCAGGGTAGTATGTACTGCTCCCAGGCTGGCTGGGGTTCCCAGGTGCCACAGTAAGAAATATTTGCTATCCTCGGTAGTGCTGTGCATACAGTTATATACTCAAAGAACAAAAAAAAAAGGGGTGCTGCAGAGCAGTTTTGAATAAATGCTGTGGCTTACACTGGCAAAAATTGCACAGCACGGTAGTCTTCTTGTTCAAATATTGACTTGAGTGATGAGGGGTTTTTTATTAAAAGGTCTCAGTGTATTGCTGTAGGCTGAACTTCTTTTACCTCTGCTATCTAAAATCCTGTTTAGAGAAACATGACAGGCTAACAGCTGTTCAATCAACCTTCACTTCAGCAGTTGACTTTCAGGCACTCTGTTCTGCAAGACTCATATCCTCTTAATAACAGTAACCTTGTGGGCATTCAATGCTGATTGCATGTGGGTATCTGAAAGCAAGTTGAAAATGGCTTTGCCAATATTACAAGCAGAACATTAAAAAAAAAAAAAATCTTAAAATAGCACACAAAATACTAACATTTCCTGCCCTCTCAAGTTGTCAGGACAGCATATGATTTTTTTTCCACATTAAGAAAGGAGTTTCTTGAACAGTTCTGCAGCCGAATGCAGGGGCTGCACTATGCAAAACACTTCCCCTTCTCAAGGCAGCTTTTATTACAGCTGTATAAATGATGTGGTGGGTATACATGGCTAGAGGTGCACATCAGCAGGCAGCACAGGGGAGAAGCTCATGTGGGAGCTCTCTAGGGACAGCCAAAGCCACATACTGCGTGTGGTCCACGTTCCCTCCTCAAAGAGGCAGGTCTGCATTTTGCAAGCGAGCAGCTTGTCTCGGGTAAAACATCCTCCCTGGGCTAACACTTGATTTGTCTACATTTTGCTTTCAGTGGCTGAGGAACCCAGGTCCCCAGCATGAGAAACGGACTCTCTTTGGAGACATGGTGTGCTTCTTGTTTATCACTCCGCTGGCGACTATCTCTGGCTGGTTGTGTCTACGAGGAGCAGTGGACCATCTGCACTTTAGTAGCAGGCTCGAAGCTGTTGGCCTCATTGCACTCACTGTTGCACTCTTCACTATTTACCTCTTTTGGACCCTTGTAAGTATTGGTTTTCTATTCAACTCACAGGAATAAGGGAAAGAACAAATCAGAAAATTAGTTACAGAGTGCTGTACAGCAGGTGGACAACTGTACAAAGCATTGCTTATGTTTACCTTCTGTACTGATAAATTTAAGTTAGATCTGCAAGAAACCTCTTGGTTCCACACCACTCAAGTCCTCTGGAAAACCAGAAGGATAGTTTGCCTTTGGGGTCAGTAATTCCCAAATCCCAACCAGAAGGGACAGCAAGAGGGAGACAAGGAAGTAACATGGAGAAGTTCAAGACAGATGCTGCAGGAGGGAGTTTCATCAAAGATAATGTGCAAAGGGTAAAGGCACAGTGCACAAAAAAGCTTTAAGTGAACAACCTGGCTGCCATAGAGGATTCAGATTTTATTCTAGTCCAATGTCTGGCCAATTTTACAATTTGAAAGCCTTGGATGTGGGTGCATCCCATGCTTTCCCCATTCCTTGTGCTTGTGGCACTGTGGGAAGTCCACGGCGCACCAGCCAGCGCACCAAGAGTTAGCCCAGCAGAAATGAAGGGAACTCAGAAGACAGCTGCCAGAATAAGTGCTTATCAACTTGTGGTCTAGCAGTTCACTGAACACCCCAGGTTACTGTTGAGTTTGACATTTCACACCTCTAGCTCCGGTGGGGGAAAAGAACAGAACAGTGGATGCAGACACAGAGCATTCACACTAACAAACAGGGTAATGCTTGTGCAGTCGTGCAAGGCTGTGCTGCTGTGAGAGGAAAAGCTCATCTAAACTGTGCTGCCCTGAGTGGGGGCAAGACCGCCATGCCTGTCATGCTAGGACAGCCACCAATCCCACAGGGCCAGTGCCCAGCTCTCCCCCTCAGGGGGTATGGCCACTCACTGTATGGTTGACCCCTTCCAGCAGTTTTTGACCAGTGTAAGCTGCTGAGGTAGCACTTTTATAACTGCATTAGTAGAGCTAGCCCACAGCAAGAAACCCCTATGCTGAGCCCAGAGTAAGCTTGGAGAAGGGGAGGTGAGGGGAAACACAAAAACCCCACAGTACTTAACAGCTAGGTCCAAGAAAGCTATGAAAGGCGACATCTCATTTACTCCATTCATAATGGTGAAACCCTGCCTCTTCCATAGAATAATGCAGGCTAATTTTAGTAGCACACAGCAGTAGGGAAAGCTCAGAGTTTTGCCTCAGCCTCCTGCAGTTTCTCTTTCAGTTGTTTCTGCTTCCATTTTCTGTGAAGCAGCAGCATTCCCCTTTGACAAGATGGCCATTTACTCCAGCAGTGAGGCGGCACTTCTATTCCCTGCACTACTGTGTGTAGACCTGTGTGTAAGGTATTTAAGCAAAGGTTGTTCAAATTTCCTTTGTGTATGACTGTCTTAGAAACCCAAATGCTGTGCAATTTACCTAATATACATAATTCACAAGCACCAAAAGAGTTGGAAGTTGGAAAGGGTAGTCTGGCTAAGTAGTTGGATTTAATTACCCATGACACATGGACATATCTGACTTTGCTCATTAAGACTTCTACAGCATCTCAGTTGTAGTCCCTAACACCATCTATTGCATTTGGATTGTAAGCAGCAAACATCTCTTCTATTCACTTTATAAATTTTACCCCTTCAAAAGTATACAGAGAAATGTGTTACTGGCACTTGAAGAATACAGCAGTAGTGAGCCTGATGTAAATGCACACCTTGGTTGACTTAATTGAAATACAGTATCTTCAGTGTCCACTGACTTGTGGAAGATGTAATTCCACTCTAATCTATTATTCAGACTAGCAGGGGGTGGATGGGCTAATGAAGCTAATGTTTATCAGGGAAGGGCAAGGCAGGCAGCCTTTCAGGGCACAGTAACCCTCCTGTTCAGCATGGACTTAATTCAGTGCGCAGAGCAGAGAGACATGACAGGAAGGACTCTCAGGCTCTCTTCACAGCATAGAAGGTGCCCTCATTGTCCTCACAGTATTGGTAGTGGATGGAATAGTTTTGAGGAGGTTTAAGTATATCTGCAGATTAAGTCAATAGGCTTGAGCAACAGTGTTTTCACACACTTTCTCACAGGGCAGATTTGCAAAGTCAAGGTAGAGATTTAAAGCAACTACTTTACAAATGGCACTGAGCACCATACACGTGGAAAACATGCCCCCTCTGCTCAGCAGCCTGAGACCCATCAATCATGCAGGAAGGCCCCAGCCTGCATTTGCCTTGGGGAGGCTCCACCCTCCCCTTGCCATGCAGCAAGGAACGGATCCAACACAGAAGTGCTAACCCCATTAAGTGCTTCAGCAGCACCTGCCCTTTAATTTTCAGAAATTGGAGAATCTTGTACTGCTTGCTTAGTTATGCAAGGGAATATATTGAGTGCTGTGGGGTAAACTACATACAACATGCGATATAATGCTCCTTTAGGTCCTGGGAAAATTAAGAAAACTAAAACTTCCTTTTACTTCCAATAAATCAGCTTATTTTCTCTGGAGGCAAAAGCTGGCATATAGATTATTTACATACCACAGTTATCCCAGTGAGCAGAGAACAGAGAGATGCTATTTTTAGCATCTAAGAAGCTATTTTATCCCTTCCCTTAAAACAGCCAAGTTCTCCATAAAATGCTATTGGTTTTCGTCTTCATTTTATCACTGTAACTGATGTATGTACACAAAAAAGCCTGCTACTCCCAAGAAGAAACCTTCAGACACAAAATGGAGATTGCTCTTTAAACTAAGAATACAGGGCCATACTCTGCTTTCTCTTGCATGCAGGTAATCTTGACTCCTGTAAGATCAAGTAGCAGGTTGGAGTACGACAGGATTTGGCCCTATAGCTTCCAGTATAACATAACTGCTGGTTTAAAACAAAGGCTATTCCAAATTAATTCAGAGTAAGTTAGAAAGATAGACACCCCCCTTGCTATCCTATTGAAGAGGGGAACAAAGGAGTTTAGTGTGCCAAGGACCAATCTAAATCTGGCCTTCGTTCAGTATGGCAAGAGTTTTGCGTCCAGTGTAACAGCTTAGGTTGAGCAACTGTGGCTCTACTGAAATTCAGTAGCTGACATCACTTGGAAACTGCCTCCAGGCAAGAACCCATTGTAAACAAGCTGTCAAACTTAACTAGGATATCCTATGAAAATGCCTTAAACAAGCAGTTAAGGCCTGGCTTAACAATGCAGTTCCTCAAAGAATCTCCTGTGGTGCTACTTGAAAACTCAACCTAAACTCTACCTCACTCCTCTGAAGCAGTCACTGCATTTTGCATGGCATTCGTTTTTGCAAGGTGGTTTTCTTCCCCCCCCGCCCCACCACATGATTTTTGCTGATGCTGCAGTGCCTTTTTAAAAGGGACTTCTCATGTTCTTTCATATACAATGTTCCACAGAAACGAAGATGCAGACTGCTTTACCTTCAGGGAGAACAGAGGAGATTGAAAGGTGGGGAATGAATTCATCTCTTGGAACAACTGTCTTTGGGCAACTCCTTAGTGAACAAAAGCTCTATAAGTTTCCCTCGTTAACAGCAGACAGCTGTATAAAGATCCAGTAAAAAAACCTCAGAAAGTCTTTTTTTGTCCCTAGTAGGATTTTATAGAAAGGTAAATAATTTATTTAGTTAAAAGCACCCTTTCTGCAATAAGGAAAGCGTTCTGAAGGATACATTCATAGGCATGTATATTACTTAATATCCCTCCATACCTCACTGGCAGCCAGCCTGTCATTGCTGTAGGGGTAGCAAAGTAAGCAGCACAGCCCCTTTTGACAGCAGCATGCACAGCCACTTCTCTATGGAGTCAGCAGCGTCTTACACCCACTTGCGCAGACCAAGCACGTTACCTCCAGCCTTTATGGCACCCTTTGCCATCTGAATAGCACAGACCTACAGAAGTGGCACAGGTGCATAAAAATCAGTAACAAATGACCAGCTGCACATGAAGACAGAACAGCTAACAAGAAGAGGTTCCTCCTGTGCTCACTGCATGGGTCCCTCCTGCCCACAGCTCCAGAACACAATAATTGTCATGTGGCACATTTCACCCCAAAGGTCCCAAGCCAGTTTACAGGTTGGGGTTTTTTTGTTGGTTTTTTTGTTTGTTTTTTTTAAACTGCACATGTACATCATCTTATACAGACATAACTCTCACTACACTTAGCTGTCACTAAAATAAGCAGTAAACTATTTCAAAAAAATACAGGGCCAAGCTATCTTGTATAGCTATAGCAGTCAGTCATTTCTCTTCCAGTCATTTCAGAACCACACTAAGGTTGAAACTGGTTAGCGGATAACAACAAAAAAAATTCGAAGACAATCTAAACTGAGATACACACATGTTGGCTGATGGCTCACACCTTGTTGCATCTGCGCAATCTTGAATTTCATGCATTCAGCAATAAAGCATTACAAGGTAGAACATAAAACTCTGTCAGTTTTTGCACACAGCTTAAAGTTACCTGCAAGCCTTCACCATCCAGCCAGTTACATTATTTGTCAGTTTAACAACTTGCAGCATGATAGTACCCCAAACTCATTCTCATTTTAAGTGGCTGCCAATGATTCTAGTTCTTGGGAAGGACAGAGGCAGAATGTCTGATTTTTCATGTTATAAAAAGGGGTATGAGAGGTAGGCAACAGCAGAAAGTAGGGCACAGGCTGCTTTTCTTCTCTCCTGTGGCAATTTAGGGAACAAGCCATCTACATAGTAGGTCTCATCTTTGCCCACCACTTCTTGCTCATTTTTACCCCACCCTATTAGGCTGCTTATCAGCTTTTTGTTCCACTGGAAGGCATTTCCCCCTAAAACCCAACTGATTCCTTGGAGGACCGCAGTGACTCTAAACACAGTGCATCTCTCTTCTCTCCCCAGGTATCCTTTAGGTATCACTGTAGATTATACAATGAATGGCGTCAGACCAATCAGCGGGTGATACTCCTAATCCCAAAGTCTGCCAACATCCCCTCCAACCAGCAGTCCCTGCTGGGCCTGCAGTCCCTCAAGAGGAACTCAAAGGAGACAATCGTTTGATTTGGGCAGTTCTACGCAGGGGCCATGCACTAAAAATATTTTCCCTCAAACTCACTGGGGACACACACTGTCCAGAACCCAGGAGTGTGCTATTCTGATTTACAAGCTCTTTGCAGAGTAATAAATCACTGTTTGAATTCAAATCATGGATGCTGCAATCATACGATATTTGCTAAGCTGCCAAACTTATTTAGCAGATACTGTATGGAATTCTACAAGCTCATGTTAATACTTGCATCATCAAGTGATGCTAACTTTTTTATTGTTTAAAATATTAAACTCTGATAATCAACAATGCAAAACAGGTTTAAAAAGTGCTTTTGTTTTTATCATTTCCTGATTGTACAGTATTATTTCTTTAGGTAGCTAGACAGTAACCAGTTCTGTTTTTTCTTTCCTAAAGCACAGCAATGGCATTCCCCCAGTTGATTTTATTTGAAGGTCCTTTATACCAATATTTTGGATTATTAAAATTTGTGTGTAATAAGTTCTACAAATTGGCATATTATTTAAATGCTATAAAGTGATTAAAAAAATTATCTCTGTTTCCTATTTGGCAGGAAAGCTCTGATAGGAAAACTCTTCAGTGATAAATCTAGCATGTGCAAAACAAAGAATGACACAAATTGCAGTAATCTTCCTACTCAAAAGTATTCTAATATGTAGCACTCAGGAAAAAAAAATTGTACTTTTTCCACTCAGAAGCAACAAATTAAGCAAGACATTCTGCACTGAAGTGCACATTCTGCTGGTGTGAATTCATACTTAGCCAATTTACTCTGCATTTACACCAAGCTGAACTTAACCCTAATTGTAAGACTTATTTTTGTAAGGAAAACTCTGCATACATAATGAATGAGATCATTAGACATGTTTTAGGAAGCAGGAACTTGTCTTGCATAAAAATTAGCATTATGTTAAAGCTGCAGAATTTTCAGCTTGACAGGTAGATTTAGCAGAGTATATGTAAACCCTGACTTCTCAGTGTAGCATTGTAACTAAGGCTCTTTTTTAAAAAATGTAATACACAGCCTACTATGATGACAAAACTGAATTTGGAGTGTAAAGACTAGACTTTATTCCTGGGTGGCATTATCTATTTCCCCTTGGTTTTATGCCCAATTCATTCAGCAATTCTTCACTCTCAGAAGAGACACACACTTATGTAGAGAGACTTTATGTTAAAGAACTACACAAAATTTCATTAACAAATGCTGCTAGAATTAGAAATTGATACATAGCCTTTTGAATAGATGAATTTTTTAGAAATGTGTGTGAACGGCAATGCCACTATGTGCTTTGTTTTTTAAACTCTGCAGGAACTGAAAATAAAAAGGAACACCTAGCAAGAAGGCTAGTAATTTTAATTCAGATAGTTCAAGGTATTATGGGTGTTTACCATCAGACAAGAGCTTATTTGATGTTGTGTGTGCTCTATAGGAGAAGAAGCTTAGTACGCAAAACCAAATCTGTTATTTTTTTAATTGTGTCTTTGGACCAGTCTAGCTGTAGTCATGTTATTTAACAATATTGTTTATAACTGTCAATTTCATGGGGATAAAAGAATCAACTACCTATATAAAGCAACAGCAGCCTCATTCCGACATAAAACTTGTTTCACAACAAGCCAAGATGTGTAAGAAAAATCACGAACCTGCAGATCTATACTCATTAGTCTGACAGTAAGGTTGAGATTGGTTATATGTTTGGCAGTGAATACCTGCTTCTCTTCCAGAGAAAACTGCACAAGATTCTGAAGACATGGCTATCACAGTCTCTGTGATGACCTAAAACTTGTAGTGCTTTTTTTAAAACCATCTTCCCAAAAGGCAGCTATCTGCATAGAAGACTGAACATGCATGTAAGCAGAGTTCCGGGTTAAAAGAAAACCTGCTATCCAAGGGTGTGGAAATAAAACAAGTCTAGCTGGGTCCGGACACTGTCAGTGTTTTAATACCTATATATTTGTTTTAGGTAAGCTTTCTTCAGAATTTTGTTCCTACTTTGTGTTAAGTACTTATTCTTGGTTTTGTTTCATGAAACAAAAAATTAGGATGATATGGAATTAGGTAGTAACTAGGAAAACAATTACTCAAATCAAGCTGCAAGGTATATGCAGACAGATCAGCATAGTGACTTGGCCCACCTCATCTGTGTTATTTCAGATTTCATTTTTTGTTTAAAAGACAGCTTATTTAATCTGCATGCATATTGAAGCAGCCAGAGAGAAGGTATGGTCCAGTTTAGCAAATACATTGCCACTCCATTTTCTCTGCTTTGATGCACAAGTAGAGCAAAACTGACTGGTGAAGTCACTAGCAACAGTCTCCCATGCATTTTCTTGAGAAAAAAATGCCAGAAAAGAACCAGTCACACACTTACCCTTTTGCATTAAACCCATGGAAAAAAAGCATGCTTCATGTTCTTCCTTGTTTCTCCTAAAACATAAGAACAGGAAGGTGGGTGATACTAATTTTCATTCCCTCCTCTGTTCTGAACTAAAGAGTTGCAGACAGAAGGCCCCTCCTGACAAGTATTTCTTTTTCTTCTGCTAGATGAGGCTGTTGCTGCCACACCAAGTCCAAATTTCAATTAACAATTTTAAAACTGGATCATTACAGCAAATATTCTACAACAGCAGCAATACTCATTTTTGTCTGAGTAGATGTGAAAGACAAAATTAACTGCAGCAGTAGCTACAGCTAGCAAAGCTCCTGGCAGTACAATGATATATTTGTTATGCTACCCTAAAGAGTTCCCAGTCAAGCAAAAGTAAAAGTTAACTAATGAAAGGATGGGGGAGGGTTTTTTTCTTTTTTTAAATAATGTCACTCAATTTCCTTCTTAGCAACATTATGCTTTCTTCTCATGCAGCTGGCTTTGCCATTTACATTCCTTTTCCTTTAAGAAGTTATATAGAAGGAGCAGTATTCAAATCAGTATTTTGAGCTGCAAGTGTTAAAAGCAGCAGCAAGTTAAGCCACCCAAAAAAAATGTTGTAAGAAGCTACAGACATAATACAGTTTTGTTCCTTCCTTCCACATCCTGCTTGCTGATGATAGAGATTGCCATCCTAAGCGTAGAGTTAAACCCACACAGGGTCCACTACAATTCAGTATGAGTGCAATGCAAAGTGAGTAAGTTTTACCTCTACACAGCCTTTTCCCTGCAAGACTAGTCTATCACATTACATAAAACAACAAACAAGACAAAATTTAGGTAAGGTTAAGCAGTGGTATTTGACAAAATGACAATGCTGAAAAGGTATGAAATTCAACAGCAGGAAGCTATGCAACTCCTCACTTCCTATTGTAGTGAGGAGAATAAAACAGGAAGCAGCAGTATAAACCACTTAAGAGGGAAAACCATATTCAATGGATAGAAGAAACTGATACAGAAGGATGTAACTGAAGATTTAGCAATAACATAGCCTTCTGTTCAGCTGGAAGTAAGTCACAGCATAAGTAGGATTACAGATGCTTCAGGTTGGGTTTTTTTGCTTTTTTTCTTTACTCAACTGTACAGTTCTGCCACACTGAGACATCAAACTGTCATTTACATTTCATTTATTAAAAAAAGCTTTGCATCAGTTTCACAGTAGGAAGTCACACGGGGCAATGTCAGAACTTAGTACATAAAGGGAATCAGGGCCAATAGATACAACTAGCCTTTGATGTGATGGATGCTATCAGAAAGAGATACAAAAAGCTACTGGGAGAAACATGCACTAAAAGAGAACTAAAAAAGCTCTCCCTCAAATGAAGGTAAGCTTAAAAAACCCCACATTAATAATTGAGCTCTTCATCTGTTATTAGCTCCATTTAACGCACAGCTAGTTAATCAAATAAGAATTTTCCTTGCAAGCAGATTTGAGTATTGCCTATTTACTGCCAAATACTGGTTTGGGGTATTCAAAAGTATCTTTAAAAACTGTTAGACAATGCAAAATGTGCAACAGAGGCCCCTAGCTTTATAAATACCTAGTAGGCCCACAAAACAAGCAAGCCTACAGTATGGGTATATAGTATGTAATGTAACTGATGACACCACCTGCATACTAATTCATTGCTGTTATTCCACATTTCAAATTTAATTTCCACATGCATTTCCACATAAGAAAGCTTTTTCAAAAAATCAATAGTTATACCTCTCGACGGCTGCCATGTCTGTTAGTACTTGTGATTGCTTTCAGTTCTTAAATTTTTTACTGACAGCCTCTTACACCTCATAGCAATGCTACGTTTTTCCTCCCTTTGATGTTGAAAGGTTATAGAACTCATTGTGATTTTTTTTCAATTCAATCTTAAGTGTACAAAATACTTTTCCAATAAAGCTTGTTAAAATACAGAATCAATGTTGACATTCTATCTACAACATTCCATTACAAACAACAAAACCACACCACCTTCAGAAACAAAATGCTACAGTTGCAGAGAAAACCAACATCACAGTTTCATTCCATGACTTACATTATGGAGAATGTCAGACTTGCTTGCCAATAATCTTTTCTGTTCATAAAATGCAACAGTCAAACCAGCTATGAAAATTCACATCCAAGAGTTAATTGATAACTGTGGGAAAATCCTATCAAACAATCAGCTTATGCTGAAATGTGCCTTTATTGATGCCACCAAATTAACTTTTCTTTCTTCGGGGTTAATCAGAGAACAAGTCCTGTATTTATGCAAACCCATAAAAGGAAAACAGAGGAGAGCAGCAAAGTACTCAGAGCGATAAATGCACACCAAGCAAAACCGGAGATAAAATAGCTAACTTTTGACATAATCCTATGATGGATCTAGTTGAATATTATAAATAATTAAGTGCCCCAGTGTTTCCTTGAGGTTAACCATCATACCAGGAAAGGCTAAATAAGCATTCACATCCATCAGACATAGCCTCCATTCCCTTTATAAATATCACCAGTTACTACTAGTTGTCCTGTTTGGGACAAGAGCTTTAAAGAGCTTTTATTCCCCATCAACTACTTACTTTCTTTGCCTGGAGAAAAATACTTCATAATCAATTACAATGCAACCATTTCTGCAAAAACAGCAGCCTTTTTTCTACTGCAAGTACCTATACTGCTTACAGTGCAGTATCAATATAAAGGGCACTGTTTCACAGACTTGGAGTTTCCCCATAAAACATCCTTTCACTTCAGAAACCCTCAGATTTGTATCAAAATGATACACTGATAAGACACTCAAATTTCTCCATGAAAATTTAAGACCAACATTTAAAATTGCT